TCGTGTTAGCTAGCTATATCGCCCGATAGTAAATAACCCAATTCGAATTGCTAGCTAGGTATATCGGGTAGTATATTGAGATAGCTAGCTAGATCGCCCGATAGTCGATATTTTTTTTCTCCTTGGGCGTAGTATTGTCTCCATTTCTCTCTTCATTTTCCGCTTCCCTCTACTGATTTCACACGTTTATCATGCTTTTTCCTTCGTGACTAATTACATTATAAGCTAAACAAACTTATGAATGCAAATGACGTTATTTCCAACGTTACTCATTATAATCCACGCAAGATTAAACATTCTCTGAATCATACAGAAAAAAGCTACTAGTTATCTATACCTATATATATATAACGTTAGTATACACGACTAATACAACACAAAAACGAAGTATTATACTCTTACTAATTAATTTAAATTAAATCTTTAAAATGAATTGGGGTCAAGATGCTGCGTTAGCTGCTGCTGGTTTAGGTGCCTATGAATTGTATCACCATCATCGATATGGTGACTTTGGTTTTGGTAATCCTTATAATAATGGTGGTATGGGCGGCTTTGGACAAGGATTCGGGGGCGGATACGGGGGTAATTATGGTAGTGGCTTTGGTGGCGGGTATGGTGGATCACCTGGTTTTGGTGGTGGCGGTTTCGGTGGCCACCATCATCATCATCATCATTTCTTCTGATCAACAATGTTACTGTGTATCACCACAATCACATTAACTAAATATGTAATATACAAAGAACTATTTTCCTGCTTTCACCTAACTTAACTTTTCATTTTCTCAATTGTAACGCAATATAAAAGGATATTTTGTTGTCACGTAATAAAGAAAGAAATCCAAGCATAATCGAAGTCTAGCCTCGGTACTTTTATTATCGCTTAGGTTAGCAGCAGAAGTTAGACAAAAAAACTCTCCTCTAAGACATTTATAGGCTTGTGTGACAAGTATGACTGGTTCTTTAGCGAATAACAGCAATTTGTGAAACAGCCGCTCTCGTGTCTAATATTTCATATAAAATATAAAAAGAGGAGTGTAAATTTCTATACAACACATATAACTCATACAGGGCTTCTGGAACAGCTATGCAATGAAAAATTGGTTGTTACGAAGAGAATCTAGAAAGTCAGTCTATCTCAGTTAGCGAAGTGAAAGGCAGCATTTTTGCATGAAACGGACATTTGTAAGTACATTCAACAGATAGTTAGTAGTACTAAAAAAATGTTTTAAGAAGGCAAAATTGAAACGTCAAACATCTACAACTCAGTCCTAAAATTCATGTTGCACAAATCGACATTCTGATGCCTTTTCTTTTGGGATTCTTGTTCTCTTGTCAATCTAAAGATTCTTCCATTACAGGTACAATGGAAGATTCTTCGAAGAACGATCAGATCTTGCAATTCTTCATGAATCGTGGACCTTAATCAGGTAAGGATGGCAAGAACTTGTCGTTCTTCGAAGAATCAGATTTTCCTCAAATTCAGTATAATTCTTTTATTTTTTTGCTCAGCATGTAAAAAAGCGACAACGTAGTATTTCTTTTAAATTTCATTTTATTTATTTATTTAAAACACACACAAAGTGTATACATTAGAAAATTTGGTGCTTGCTCCGCGCTGAACCAAATTGGATAAAAATTGGGCGCCTTATTGGGTCCCTTATAATTACATCTTCACTAGGGGTGTTAATTTTATTTTATTTTTCATTTATAATAATGGATAAAACTAAATGAATTATTTATACTTAAAAAATAAAGATAAATATTTCATTTAAATTTAAAAAATAAATATAAATAAATGACAAAAAAATTTATCTTTATTTTATAAAAGTAAATGATT